AATACACAGTAAATCAGTATTTTAGATCTAATTTTCTATTGATGGTTTTCAAGCCCGCCTGTTTATGTTGAGTTGTGCTGCTCTTTCAGTGGCTCTGACAACCCCACTCCTGGCTAAGCAAAAGGCTTTCAGCACTAATACAGGTACCTCACTCATGAAATTTAATCAAAAATTTACCTCCAAGACATTTCAGTACAAACAGCCCAGCAGAAGAAAACCTCTCCAACAATAACTTGCTCCCTGATGGCTCATTAAAAATGAGCCAGAGCTTGGTTTATTTCTGCAATAAGACATTTTAGCAGACCTTTTATAAAATATACATACAGGTCTAAATCATGCAAAACCTGGATGGGAGGAGCAGCTGGTGAAGCCAAGCACCACAGCACAAGCAAACACTCATTTTCAGGTGGCCCATTAAACCTTAGTGTGGCCTCTCAGTGCTGGCACATCCGAAGAAGGGGATGGAATGACACAGGGACAAGGTTTGTCCCACCAGCCCAGCCCCACACTGTGCCAGCTGAGCAGGTAATTCAATGCTCTGGTTCCCCAGGAATCGGTGCCTGCACTGCTCAGAGCCTGCTCTGAATACTAAACTATTCCATTTCCTTGTGATTTTTCTTCTGGTGATTGTAAATACACAGCTGGAATGTTCTACAAATACTAAGTAACATCTTTCCAGTCCCTGTGAAAGCAGAGGTCACGATCCCCGTTTTGCACAAAGAATTGTGATGCAAAGAGATGAATGAAAACACAAATAGGCTCAGATCTGAGGAGCTGGCTTTGCAAAACCTGCTCTTGTGCTTTTGAGAGCACGAAGCCCTTCCCTGCTGCCCCCTGACCAGTGCTCACAATCTGAGGGATATTTTCTCTGCCAGCACAGCCCAGGTTTTCACGTGTTGCTGGTTTCCCACTGGAAGCAGTACTGCTCAGTGTTCTTTTTCCTTTCAGATTCATAGAATCGTCCAGGTTGGAAAAGACCTCCAAGATCACCACATCCAACCATGACTGCAGCGGATCTTTTAATGGTGCCAGGAGGTGCCCAGAGCACAGGGGAAGAGCCCTGCAGCCTGAGGCTGGACCCTGGAGCCAAACGTGCTGTGGTCACCTGAGGCTCCTTGAAGGGCTAGATGAGCCAGCCAGGCTGTGCTGACACTCTCACAAAAGAGATGGGCTTTTCCAACTGAATTAGAGGGGCTTTGAGACCCTCAAAACATTATCTATCACCAGGCTGGCAGGGAGGTGGAAGAAGCACCCAGACACCCCACTGTGGACAGGGAGAGCCACCGATTCCCTTGGAGCAGCACAGGGGCACGTGTGTGCAGAGCAAAAGCATTTCACACCCTTCCATGAATTTCACTTGGGAAGGCAAAAGCATTTCATGCCAATGCTGCAGACGGTCCAGCCTGCTGCCCCCTTTGCCCTGGCCCCCTTGCACACTGTCTTCTGTCCCCTCTTTGTTGCAGCACTGCTGAACCAAGCCACAGGCCCACGGACTGCCTGACTGGCTGCCACACGCCCCCAGGATTTCATTCCTCGTGGGTGCAGCACTGCCCAGGCTGTGGCCAGCTGTAAACGTTGTGTATCTCCTTTGTACAGCTGAGCCCGGGCTGTCTGGCTGACGGCAGGGACAGCGCTGAGAAAACAAACAACGTTCCTTTTTTTTTTTTTTTTTCCTTTTTGATGAAAGAAAACATTACCTCTCTGAGATTTACACAGTAGATCAAGCACAGACCTGAATTATCTCCCTCTTCTCTTTCTCCAGGGAGCAGATAATAGGTGGATCTATCCATCCGTCTGCTTTGTTACACGTCGCCCGGCTCGGCAGCGTTTCGGTTGCTATTAAACCATGCTCGCCCCCCTTGACATTTAAAGGGCTGTTGTGTGATTACTGTCACAGTCTCCTACGTGGATCCTTAAACCAATTCTTCTCCTCTTCCCGCCGATGATGGATTTTCTCGTTTATGCCACAGTAATTTGTTTTTCTCTCGCTGCGCTCCGGCAAAATGCTTTCACTGTCACAAGTGGTTTCGGGAACAGCCCGTCCCCGCCGTGCCACGTTACGACCAAGCAGCTCTGGGCAAATTGGAGCTGCCCCATCTTTCAACAGCATTAGCAGAACTCAATAGCTTGTGGCTCTGGGAGCCTGGTCGTGCTGGGGTTGGATCCACCCGTGTTTGGAGTCGCTGCTGTGGGGTGGAACGTGGCAGGACACGGCGCTGTGAGTCCTGATGGGCCCTCAGCTGCTCCTCATCAGACATGTGCTCCAGACCCTTCCCCAGCTCTGTTGCCCTTCTCTGGACACACTCCAGCACTTCATTGTCCTTCTTGTAGAGAATGGGACCATCGATGTGCTCCAGTTCCTGCTGCCTTGGAGGACTGAGTGATACTACCCCGGCCCATGTCACACTTGGAAAACACATCCACCAGAGATCAAAATGCAAATGTCCCACGTTGGGTGGAGAGTGCCATGGCTGGTCATGTCACCTGCACACCTGAGCCCAAGGCACTGGCAGAGCACACGTCCCTCCCACCGCGGTGCCGTGGAGTGTCTGAGCTGAAAGGTCAGGGATCTCTGGCTTAGCCTAAAAAACCAAAGTGAAAATTTCTTACTCCACAGAGCTCAGTTGTATCTAGAATTACTCCCATCAGCGTCTCCTCTGCCCCCAGTCCCCCGCTGTCAGCAGAGGTTGCAGAGGTTTGTGTATCTAATGGATTGTTATTCAAACCCACTTGCTTGTAGAGAAATATCCTCGACCAAATCCAGCTGTGCTGGGGAAAGATGTTTTCTCTCTCAGGCACTCATCACTGTCCCCAGCTGGAGGTTTCTGTCCTATCAGCCTGCCAGCTGGGCAGTTGGTGTGCATGATTCAGATGGAGCCAGCTGGGCTGGTGTCCTCCACTCCGAAGATGATAAATCTGAGAGCCAGTGGCCTGCAGAGGAGCACTGTGGTGGCCAGACATCTGCTGATTGCAGCACATCCACTCTGCTGCCTCCCACCTACCGGGGGCTTTTTTTGGAAGAATAACTCGCTGTGGCAGAATTTCTGCCAGACCCAGTTCCATAGGGCTGTGCTTCCCTCATTCCAGCTATACCAGGTGTTGTTTGTCCTCTCCAGCAGACAGCAGCCGGC